TACCAGGTACACACATACACACACACACACACACACACACACACAATCCTCCAGAATGAATAAAAGACATAAATGAACCAAGCACATCTTTAGTTCAACATAAAAATTAAAGCTTGTGAATTGTGTGCAAATGATTAAAGAGCTTTTAAAGCTCCACATGAACTTTTCAGGTTTAGCCTAACTTACTTTCCAGTCACTGGGGTGCACAGAGATCTTGTGAATGTGAAAATCAGGCAGCTTTCTTTGCAGCACATCAGCCAGAAGCTCAGCCTTTGCGTAATAAGGACAATCAGCTTTTCCTGATGAATAGAGAGAATAATATCGCCATTAAAATTATGTTGACTGTGACATGATTGACCACAAAGATCTAAATACTGTAGTGGTTTTACAAGAAGATAACATTATAATGCAGCATAGATAGATAGATAGATAGATAGATAGATAGATAGATAGATAGATACCCGCAAGAACAAACTTTGCCATGTTTTTCCATTCCCAAGTGCGTCCGGCGTTGCTAGGTAACAGTGCGTGTTCCGCATAAAATGCTCGTGAGAGGAAACATTTCGTGTTTCGCTTTCGTCTGTATTTTTATTAATTTTTCAAAAATAATATTTTACATATATAATATGAATTAAACTAGTTATATGGGGTTTTATTTAACTATTTATATGGCATTTTTAAAAGAACATTATGAAAACCACGCGATACTACAAGCGGAACTATTGTGATTCTGTATTTCTGTCATGGCTGCGCTCATAGTGAGAGCTGTAAACATGTGAAGACAACGAATGATGGGTAAGATCCTTCCATTATGACCATTACGAGATCACAAGATCATTAAAACATATGACTGTGCCATAATTAACATAACAAACATGTAAATACTGTGCGGGTTTACAGTTATAGTGTGGCATTTCTTCAAGGTTTGCTTACAAGGGCATGAAGGGAATATACAGTGCCCTCCATAAGTATTGGAACAGTAATGACAAAATTGCTTTGTCTGATGTGGAGTCAAGACATCTGCAAATATGATTAAAAGATGAATATGAGACAAAACTACAGAATGTCCCTTTTTATTATTGGGTGATTCAACACATAGATGTTTTACCAACTAAGAAGATCAGTGCTTATATAGTCTCATCTCCTTTGTGAGAAAAGCATTTCAATGGATGAAACCAAGAGTCTGGTGTAACTAAATATTAGCTTTTAAACTTATACATTTGCTTTAAGTTCACCTCTTCCAATACTTATGCTCACATCAGGTTAGGGAATGAAACTCTAAAAGTGCTGTCCTTTTTATTTGGTAAAACATGTATGTGTTAAAACAGCTAATAATAAAATGGGACATTCTGTAGTTTTGTCTCATATTCATCTTTTAATCATATTTGCAGATGTTTTGACTCCACAGCAGACAAAGCAATTTTGTCATTACTGTTCCAATACTTATGGAGGGTACTGTAAGCACAAAGCTGCTGTCCACTTTACGTTAAAATGTATGTTATAATTATTATATGTCTTAATATAATAATTAATATAATGCATATGAAATAATTATTATAGCCAAATTCAACCTTTTTGTCTATTTTGGTTAAAAATGTATTGTGTGTAATCACATTAAAATACATGGGGACATACATGAAAAGATATAATGAAAACTTTTTTTTTATATATATATATACATACATACACACACACACACACACACAATATGTATTTTCATCATAATTTTGTGTAATGGGCTATATATTGCACATTCATGTTTCCATATAAATGTGAGCATATATAGTATGTTCAAATATATTTATATACACACACTGTACCATATTGTATCACATGTACATCTAAATATTATTAAGTTGTGTTACTGAATATGAAATTACATTCATTACAATATAAAAGTAAATATGCCACATATTTTTAAGTATATGAAAAGTGTATTATGAAAGTCCTTATGTATTATTCAATATATTAACAAACTATATTATTTTGTTTATTTTCAATGTGATTGAATATTGAATTTGAATTTATTCTGATTCTAGTAACATTTCAAGATCATCCGTCCAACCTGTGACCCTGTCGGATACAATAGCAGAAAATGAGAGCATATAAAATGAGTGAACAGTAAGATCAGTTTCAACCAAAACACCATAACTACTAAAAATGTTTTTTTTATGATGGTTTTACAGTAGCAACACAAACTGTATTAAGTACAGTGGATTCTGTTTTACTTTTGCAGTTGTTGCAGTTTTGAAGAATCACCTTGTGCCTTTGTGATGATAACATGAGCATGTATAAATCAGGTTTGGACATGCTCAGGTGTGCTCTGAGATCCACGTCACTTTGGAAGTGTGACTCTTTTATATGAACACAGACATCTCTATGTTATAAAAGCCGAAGCTTTGCGGTGTCATCTCAGTTGAGGAGAAAAAGCACACAAGGACACACTTTAAAACAAGCCCGCTATTACTGTCAGAGTGGTGAAGATGTTCAGATTAAACAAACTGCTGCCTCTACAGAGACCAATGAACTGCCAGATAAAGCAGAAAAGGCTCCTTTCTACACACATTTGCAGAAGTGTTTGTGCCCCACTGATGTGCTGGACATGTTCCCCGCATCGCAGCAGCACCTCAGCAGCATCTTCTCACGCATGTGGGAGAGCTCAAAGAGGATGACGGACGAGCAGCGGCGCTGTGAGCTGCAGCTGATGTTTGAACACCCGGTGTTTGAGGAGGTCTGTGAACGGGCCATGACTGACGCCTGGCGCATGAGGAGCGATGATCTGGCTTACAGTCTGCTGGCCATCGTCAACCTGGGAGTTCCACAAAACACACGTCTTGTGCAGACGCTGCTGCGTGTGATGCAGGTAAGTGAAGGCCAGTGAATGTGATCACATTGGAGTTTTTTGTCTTCTAGGCTGTCACAATCATGGTAATAGCTGTAATAGCTGCATAATATTTAAATTCTTATTTGATTGTATCAATGGATTTAGGAATACACACACACGCACACACGTTTACTTAGCTATCTAAATGGGGACATTACATAGACTTCTATTGTTTTTATATACAGATAGTTATTCACTTTTTAACCTAAACCCACTCCTACCCCTCACAGAAAACTTTCTGCATTTTTACAATTTCAAAAAAACTTTGTTTACTTTATTTTTATACCAGTTTTACAAATGAGGACGTCCCCAAATTGAGTTTTTTGGGGGGATTTTGTCAGGTTTTGCTCACTTTTGGGTACAAATTTGTCCCCAAAATATGGTTAAGTAGGCACACACACACACACACACACACACAACCGGTCAAAAGTTAGGTTATGTGCTGATTTGCTACTTATTATCAGTTATTACTGGTGCTCAGTTAATATTGGTTCTTATTTTTGTCAATGTT